TTTTTACTAGTAATACATTTTAAGTATTAGTAACGATATTTATGATGTCTAGATGTCCTTCATGATAAAAGTAATAAAGCGACGTAAACATATCGTCTCTTGGGATATTATGTAACTATCGCATGGCCGTCCCTTAGACACTTTAACTGAATTACTATTGCTAAGTAATTAAAAATATTACCTTCTTCATTAACCCGTTAATTCCACTGCTCGATGTGAACATACAATGCAGCATTTATAAAGTGCTCCTAAAAGTAGTTACTTAATAAAAATTTAAAAAATCGTTTAGTGTATATCGCTTCTTTTTAGTAGGTAGGCAATGTTGGAAATAAACCGGCCAAGAGCGTGTCGGGCCACACTCAGTGTAAGGTTCCGTAGTTTCCCGTCCGTCACAATAAGGGTTCCCACTTATGAGTTTAAAGGTGGGTATCCATTATGTTCGCGCTCCAACAGCGCTCCGCGCTCCTGCAACTGCTCCCGGTAGTGGGTACTGTTGTTTCCATCCAAGTTCAAAATGATTTTCCTAGAAAGTCCTTATAAAGTTCTACTTTTCAGATTTTTTTCATATTTAATAAACTTATGGTTCAAAAGTTAGAGGGGGGGGGGGGACACATTGTTTTTTACTTTTGGAGCTATTATTTCCGAAATTATTGACATTATCAAAAAATGATTTTAGTAAACCCCTATTCATTTTTAACCCTTAACCACTTACCCGCGGTCACCATGACCGCAACGGTTTTTTAATCGTTTATATCTCGACGTGTGTTTGTCTTACGCTTGTGTGCGTTCATTTACCTTCCCAAAATCCCGGTTATTAAAGCTCTGCCGCTCGACATGTGTCAACGTGCGCGCATTCAGCTACAATAAATAAGACATTTTCGTAAGCGGCCACCTTGACCGCACGTAAGTGGTTGTGTGATTATTTTGTCTTGATTTTGTTTTTTGTTGTTTTGGTGTAAAATGAGTATAAACGACGAAAATATTGCGCGGTGGTTAGAAATAGAAGTGTCAGATGAGGAGGAGACACTGAATGAAGATACCAGCGACGTGGAGCTCGATGTTGCGGAAGATTATGTGCTCCAAGAGGACTGTGAATATATATGACTGAAGGTAGTAAGAGCGGATCGTCTTCAGAAAAAGAGCAATTTCCGCTTGGAAATGAAGATGATGTTTCTTCGTTTTTTATTTACTTACGAAGTAGATCGCCAGTTACGCGTGACAGCTTTTCATCAGAAGATGAGGTTCCTCTAGTGCAACACCAAACTACGAGAAGGAATTTTTTTGGCAAGAACCGATTCCGATGGTCTTCTACGCCTTGCACTAGTCGTTCGAGAACTCTGCGGCATAATATTGTTTCACAAGCGCCAGGAGGAAAGGCAGCGTATCGCGATATTCTTACCAATGATACTACGCCTCTCGATATTTGGAAGCTTTATTTCTCAGATGAGATGCTTGAAAAAATTGTTCAGCATACTAATCAAAAAATAAGGAAGATGAGACCGCAATACAAAAAACAAACGAATGTTCAGGATTTGGATCTCATAGAGTTGAAGGCCTTTATTGGTATTTTATTCTACTCTGCTATCTTTAAAGAAAATCACGAACAATATACTTCATGGTATAATACTGATGGTTCTGGAAGAGAAATATATCGCTGCGTAATGAGTAAAAGTAGATTAGAAATTTTGTTGAATGCTGTTCGTTTTGATGATGCAGAAACTAGAGAGCAGAGGAGAGAGGCTGATCTGTCAGCTCCTATATCGGAACTGTTTGCTTCGTTTATCCATCAATGCCAAGAAATCTACAACATAGGTACCTGCGCTTGTGTAGACGAGATGTTAGTGGCTTTCCGTGGTCGCTGCAAATTCAAAATGTTTATGCCAAAGAAACCAGCTAAGTACGGCTTGAAAATAATGTGCCTAACAGACGCAAGAAATGGTTATCTTGTCAATGCTTACATTTATTTAGGCAAAGGTTCTGATGGGCTCACTTTGACTGCGGAACAACAGCGACTATCGAAGCCGACTCAAGCAGTTTTACGTCTCATATCTGTTATTGAGGGAACTAACAGAAACATCACGGCTGACAACTGGTTTTGTTCTGTAGAACTAGTCAATGTTTTGAAAGATAAACAATTGACTCTTGTAGGTACTTTGAAAAAAAAAAGCGCGAAATACCACCAGAATTTAAGGCATCTAAAGTAAAGAACAGTTGAATCATCGGTTTTCGGTTTTACCAAAGATATGACTTTGTCATCTTATGTACCAAATAAGAACAAGGCTGTTATTATGATTTGGAGCATGCACCATACAGCAAGCATTGATGAAAATACCAAAAAACCGGAAATCATTATGTACTATAATAAAACGAAAATAGGGGTCGATTTACTGGATCAAAGGTGTTCAAGTTATTCTACAGCTCGTCGTACTCAAAGATGGCCGATGGTCATTTTTTATAGATTGTTGGACATATCGCTTTCAAAGGCCTACATTGTCAGTTTGTCTAATCAGGCGCAAAAGACCGGAAGCAGATTCAAGTTCATAAAAAAATTGGCAGAACAGTTAACACGACCGCACATGGAGCGACGAAGAACGAATGAACACATTCCGCGGGATATCAGAGGTTCTATTGGCCGAATACTTCAAGTAGAAGAAGAAATACCAAGCAGTTCCGGTGCTGACAAGCTGGAAACTCGCAAGACCTGTTCAACCTGCGACCCTAAAAAAAAACGTAAAACATTTCACCTTTGTTTTGTATGTAAAAAGCCAATATGCGTAGAATGTTCGCAAAAGATGTGCCGTATTTGCCGCGAAATAATTTAAACTTTTAGTACTTGCAATTTTTTTTAAACATGTAACTTTTTTGTTTTTTATTTGATTTCATCAAGTAATTACTTTATCTGGGGGCATGGCAGTACCCCCGCCAAGTCGAGCAAAAAAGCGGCACGGCCGTACCATCTTTTCTCGAAGTAATTCAGGTCATTTTCGACCCCCTATAACTTCGTGGTCAATAAAACTAGAAGCCTGAATTTTCAGTAACCGAGTAAGCATTGTATAGATATGGTATATTTCAAATTTCATTCAATTTGAACCAGTAGTTTAAGAATTGTAACCAGTTAAACTTTCTTAATTTTGTCACTCACTGACTGACCGATCATCAAAACTCTAAGGCACTACTAGCAGACATAGAAGCTTCAAATTTAGAATGCAATTAGTGTTTAGAGTATAAATCAAGGAAAAACTAAAACATTTGTTAATTTCTGTCCAGTTTTCTAGATACACTAACTGCATAAATAACTTTGTAATCCCTTATAAATATATAGAATTACAAAGTTACATTTGCAGTGAATGAACCAGTGTACTTGTATATGTATTACAGGTGTACATAGGTACGTTGTTGGTACTCAAGAAGTAGAAGGTACTGGAAAGGTAAAAAATTAAGACTATCTTATATACAAAAAGAAATGAGATGCAATTAAAAACATAACTTGTAAAAAAAAACAAGTCTCGCAACTCAGTTCTTCTACCGTAAAAAGTTGTGAGATCCATGTAATACCAAGTCGGTTAATTTATTCAGTTCCTACTTAAGGGTCCTTCTGTTTTAAGTTATTACGTAATTACCTAACCTAACAACATTTTATAGTGACCATATCAATTTTAAAAGTCTTTTATATTTAAAATATATAGATTGACTTGGCAATCGCATTAAGCAATCTAATTTAATATAATACGTATTACTTGTGAGATACATTGTGGTTTCATGCGATGGCCAAGTCAATCTATATATTTAAAACATAAAAGACTTTTAACATTGATATGGTCACTATAAAATGTTAGGTTAGGTAATTCTTAGAGCTTAACTCGTAGAGCTTTCTAGTGCTAACGGTCACAGAGATTAAGCGAGGACGGACAGACGGACAGACAGACATGGCGAAACTATAAGGGTTCCTAGTTGACTATGGAACCTTAAAAAAAGTGATCAGCGTGTCAACTACAAGTATAAGATGAAATCGTAAAATAATTGGCTACGTTTTTGTAAACGTTATGACTTATGACGCATTATTTATCAATGATGTCACGGAGCTAGCTATAAACGACTGTAAGATATAGTGACATCATAACATTGTTAGAAAAATATATAGATAAAGTTAGAAAATATCATATACAATATGCACTGTTGCTTCTGTCTTAAGGAGCCAGATTAATAAGTCCGGGAGAAATTCCATAATATGAACTTTTTATTAAAGTTAAGACTATGGTAACCACTTTGGAGTACTGTTAGTTTGTCACAAGTTTATTTTTTAATAAACGTTTCACTACACTAAGATTTTCTCTAGTATATGAGAGTCGTTTTCTTTAAATTTGCACAAGGAGAAACACCATAGCCTGTAACTAATGACTGCAATACTTTTACAATGCGAATACGGGAATCGAACTGACGGCCGAGTGTCGCAGCAAACGCTTCGCCGTTTCGATATCGAGCCGTCATATTTTTCGAGATAAAGATTTATAAAAACCGCTTGCATCAGATTTCTTAAAACTAAATCAACAGATACAACGCTCAAATTATTGCATCTGTCCCTATCTTTGCTATATATATAACCAAGAATATAATAATTTAAGTCATGATCTCACTGGTGCACCGTGCACGTGTATTTTGTATCCATATGGCAATGAATATAGGAATTCATTATAGCCCTAGCAATGCACCCCTCTTAATGGAAAGATGACCGTTACGAACGTATAATATGCATCGTTAATTTGCTCAAGCGTAATCGTTCCGTTGGATATGACTGTAAACAAGCAGCGCCGAATTATCATTATGTTTATTGTTTTAGAAATGAGTAACATGACGACTCTGCTCCTGGAATCGAATGACTCATACTGTTTTCTAATAATGCTTCATTAAGTAATCCCCACCATTTTTTATCATTAAACCTTTAATACTACGCGCTTAGGCCATTTTTTCTTGAAGAAATTTATTAAAATTTTGTATTACAGGGTACGTTTACAAGATTTATTCGTCGCGACGAATATTAAAATTCAAAAGGAATCAATTACTAAGGTGCTAAATGGTAAAGTAGTGGCACTTTGTCAACAAGCGCAGTGTGATAAAACAGCAAAGGTGTTTACACTAGATGATAAACCTCTGCTCTCTCATGGACATGGTAAAAACACCAGCTATATAAATTTTTTTTGGAAATTCCGTTGCGTAACTGTTTTACAAATGTAAATCAAATATATATTTCAATGATTTTGTACTATAATTTCAGACCAAAAGTTAAAGTTTATAGAACAATCAAGTAAATCCAAAAAAAGAAATATTTTAAATACAAAGTAATAAATAGTGTAATGCTCATTGTTCCTGAACAAGGATCTCACTCTATATATCTTATTATTTCATCTGAGATTTGAACAAATTAAAATTTGTATTGAATGTTGTGTTCTTTAATATCTTTATTTAAAAGAACACAATGAGTCAATGATGATGTAATTCAGAACAAAGTACATCATTAAAAACATTATGTGTATTATCAGTAAGTGCTATATTATAGTACTTGATTAAACTGATAAGTTAAAATATTTTCTGTTTTTCCAGGCCTTATTCGAGGTGTTGACTGGGAAAAAGATGTCATATATGTGATCACTCCAATATCACTAAATGATTTGGCTTTAGTAGACACAATTCTGTATTGTGATTGGATTCCAGAATTACGGGGACAAGAGAAGAACCTCCCGGAGGGCACTGTAGTTCCTTATAGAACACAAAGTCAGTTCCAACAAAGGCAACTCATGTTCGCACCTCGTAGGAGATTCAATCCTATCCAGTTATTGAAGATGTCAAGGAGTTCCTAAATTGAAAGTTCAATTGATTAGTTAATAAATTTGTAATTGGAATAGTTCCAAAATATCTTAAATTATAAAAGGAAGTCTAATTATTTAGTGTTAATTCATGTATATTTGAAGATAATTTTGTACTTACAATACTAATAAAACATAACATAAATGATTGTTTTAACTTAAATATTTCCCCCATCCTAGAAGAAACCTTTGATTTATAAATGCTGTATTAAATTTTTATAAAAGTCAAAAAGTGTAGAAAAGAATTGTTAAACATGGGGTTCCTTTATTACTAATAAATTATATTAGCATGCAATGTAATCACATGGAAGTTAAAATTTCACACAAACAATAGATTACAATAAAACTGCCTAATTCAGTAACAGATGGACGTCTCTGAGACGCGTCTAGCTGACAGGCACTTAGCTGAGTCAGAATGGGGCTCATGCTCCATGTCAAATAAACATCCTAAACAAATTTATACATCACTATTTTATTGAAAAATTAAAATACAAAATACCGAATTTAAATCTCGGTGACCTCGGTCGAGACTAAATCTATTAATCCTGAGGAAATGCTACTCAATTGTATAACATGATAACATAGCACGAAAAATTCCAGTTGGCTCATCAGGGTCAGAGCTCCCATAGCTCATTTACCCCCTGACAGCATCTGTTAAGGCAATTACGCTTACTCTTTATAGATAATCTATAAAATATACAAGTACCAATTGTGAAAGTATAGCCACACGAATACTGAATGGATGTGCGTGCTACGCGGGCCGCGACAAGGCGTCAGCTGTCAGTATCGGAAGGAAGCACTGTGTGGCCGACGTCGCGACTGCTGCAGAGTTCGAGTCGTTTCAAACGTAAGTTTACAGGCAGTATGCGAACAATTCATAAATCAGAGTCCCTCCGACAACAGCACAATTACAGCAGAGAACACCTGGTCTTCTTCTTCTTCTTGACTTGTAACGCAGCACGGGTCGCCGTCTCAAATACCTCACGAACACCTTCCTTGCTTTTGGCAGAACACTCAAGATATGCAAACGCATTAATTTTTTCGGCCATGGCCCGACCTTCTTGTGGCTTTACCGGCTCTTGTTTCATCTTACGTAGCTCATTAATAGTGGCCGGATCATTGCGTAGATCCTTTTTGTTTCCCACCAGGATTATAGGCACATTAGGGCAAAAGTGCTTTACTTCAGGCGTCCACTTCTCCGGGATGTTCTCAAGTGAATCTGGAGAGTCCACCGAGAAGCACATCAAAATCACATCGGTATCTGGATATGACAAGGGGCGCAATCGGTCGTAATCTTCCTGACCCGCTGTGTCCCACAATGCAAGTTCCACTTGTTTGCCATCCACTTCGATGTCGGCGACGTAATTCTCAAATACTGTCGGCACATACACTTCCGGGAACTGATCCTTGCTGAACACGATCAAGAGGCATGTTTTACCGCACGCACCATCACCAACAATCACTAACTTTTTGCGTATCGCAGCCATCGGTCCTGTGAAAGAATACAACGCAAATAATTACTACGAGCGTCAACGCCTTTCATGACTTATAAATATGGCGGCCGTATAGGAATATGGGAAGGGAGTAGTCAGACAAGCCCTCAAATGTGAATAAGCACCTGAACTAGCGGAAGAAGAACAGCACCACCACATAGTACCCTCACATGCGAGGATGGTTATTTAGTATATTTTGTAGATACCTGAAGATTCTGGCTAATTTCTGCAGAATATTGACCTATCGACACTTTTAATCGTCTTTGCTCATCACAAGCGGTGTTGCCGCATTAAACAAAACTAATTTCCAAAATAACAGTCGTCACTCGTCACAGGTTTTACACTTTGTATTGCAAGCATTGAAATATATTTTCCAAAAATTGATAATATAATGTAACTAACCGTGGGACATCTTTCTTAATAAACTTCTATCGTAATGAAATTGATTTCAAGAAAATTAGTTTATTAACTATTTTTAGCATTTATTCTCATTGTCTTTATTTATATCAGGTAATTTTCATCATCTTTTTTTACTCTAATTCGACATATAGGTTTTTTCTAATCTATTATTTTTATTAGTTCTTGGAACTACCGCGGGGAGTAAGACTTTAAAATAATTTAAATTCAATTTTTTTATATAAAATATTAACTATTGTATATTTCAGTATTACTTAAATAAATGTATAAATCTAATTATATAATATTATGATAATAGTAATATCAATTAAATAACAATAAAACAATAAAAGCTTTATTCGTGGCCAGCCAGCGTGGCTGGTCGTAGGTGCAATACCAAGGGCCAGGAAACAAAAAACTCTACCTTATTTTTTTACGTTTTCAACGTTATTTACTTTTAATAAATAATATAGTTACAACTTAGAGTATTTATAACCAAGCTATAGAGCGCGCGTTAGCGAGTCAGAACTGTAAGCACGGGTCAGAACAGTCCCGTAACGGCAGGGGCAACGTAATGACTAATACGTTACGAAAGGTCACAGGTGTAAATTATTTCCCTCATCGCTATAGTAATTATGGTAAAATGTGCAGTGCAAAGCTACAAAAATGATTTACAGAAGCAAACTAAGAAGAACAATGAAATTTATTTTCATCGGTATGTAATATTTCGATAAGAAAACACTGGTATTAACAAAATTACTTAGGGTGTCAAAACTAATAGATATCATTCAAAAATGATTTAGCATGTACCCCGTACCTCACGCTTTGGGTTTCCCCGAATTAGAGTTAGTCCAATGCGACGTTGTACCAGAATATTTTTAGTAACAAGATACCTTTCGTAATAGTTATAATATAATTATAGTATAAGAAGTTAAGATCGAAAGAAAGCCGTGTATTAACAAGTAAATAATATATTATAGGACACTCCTATAAAAACGTTGAGTAAATGAGCATACAGCTCACCTGATGGTAAGTGATTACCTCTGCCCATGAACAACTGTAACACCAGGAGAATTTTAGATAAGTTGCCGATCTTTTAAAAAGAGTAGGCTATTTTCCTGAAGGTCCCTAAGTCGTATCGGTCCGGAAATATCTTTGGTGGTAGTCGATTCTACAAGGAAGTTGTTCCAGGAAGAAAGCATCTTTTATATCGCACAGTGGTGGACCGCCAGTCATCCAGATGGTATGGATGGTATCTCGAGCTTTATTGCGATGTGTGATGGTGAAATTTTGCGGCTGAAATTAGTCCGAACAATTACTCAGAGCACGCCCCGTGGTAAATGCGATAAAATACGCAAAGAGATGCAACATCTCTTCACAGCGCCAGTGATTCAAGCTGATCGGAAAGAGCTCGGTCGTCGAAAATTCGAACGGCTCTGCGCTGGATGCGATCAAATAGGAGGAGTTGGCACTGAGGAGCCCCACCCCAGAGATGGGAACAATATTCCATGTGTGGCCCAACCTGCGCCTTGTAAAGTTGTGGGTGGTGTGTCGCCATAAAATACCATGCTGATCTGCTTATCGAAATCCTAAAATATTTTCAAGTAGAATAATATTGGTGCCAAAGGTAATAATAAAAATATTTAATCTATTGATATAATTACAGCTAAACATACGCGGTTATACCAACGAAATCCCAACCCTGGCAGGATACCTTCGCGAAGGGGAAGACGACGTAGAGCTGATGATATATAAGAACGATAGCGCCAATTTCACCTAGTCCAGAAGAGCCCTTACCGACACTGCCAGGATGCAGCGTCTGCTGGACCTGTTGCCACTGTGACTGGATGAGTGGAAGATGGCTCAGAAAACTACCACCACCACTGACACTCAAGGTCAGAATTTCTCACCTCAGAAACTCTTACTTGTGGGACAAGTTCAAAGTTGGTACAGCAGTATCGGCTAACCTTATTTTAATGATAGCTTAGGGTATGAAATACGATTTATCAAAATGTTCGGAGCAAATGGTGCTAGTCCTAGTAGATAGTTTAGGTATCCAAAATTCATGATTTCTATAAGCTGCAAACTACGTCTGACACCTAAGAAGATCTCTTGGAAATATGTAAAATCAAACCAATGATAGAAAAGCTTACTGCATTTTGTAATACTTTATTATAAAATCTTTAAAAAAATAAACCAGTTTGGCAGACAAAAGACAAAACAAAAAGTTGTGGCGCACATCACTATATTCATGAAGGTTAGAGAACAGGAGAACGGTCACCGTAGAAAAAAGTGTCCCAGAAATATGGACACCATAAGTGAGGCGCTGCGATCACTAAGTTGGGTCAATAAAAGTCATTTTCAGTCTATTTTTCCGATCAGATGCTAAACCACTTGCACATCCACGCACAATAAAATATTTCTCCATTTTTTAATGTTTCTATTTGTCAAAAATTAATAAGTTACGGAGCATGAAAATTTTCTCATTAAAAATTAAATGAAAATTTGTTCAACTAACTTCATCTATTTGTAATTATAAACAGCTAACTTCACAGTTACTACTCACCGACGTCAGCGCCGCTATATATTCTACAATTTTCAAGGACAGGCAGGCTATGCTTTAGTACGTAGTGATCGTTCTCCTGTTCTCTAACCTTCATGACTATATTGCCCGTAGACAGACCTATAGACTAATGATTAGCGTGGCCTCGAGTGAGAAAGGGCGATAACGTAGTTTTAGGTTATACAATAATCTCTCTGACTTTTAAACATATTTAGATAAAAAATTTAATTGTTCTAAGAACTGAACTGAACAAGATTCACCAATATTAAGCTCACAAAACACTTTTTTCTCACTTAAACCAGCTTGTAAACTCCTTAGATGGCTACGAACTGTCAAAGTTGTTTTATAACAAAAAAACCGGCACGGAGAAAGGTACAAACAATCATACCGCTCTGTCTCATTTCTATGCAAGACGTATGCATAAATCTATCTTTTTCGTGTGCGAATCGAAAGAAGGCGTCAATTTGTCTATAGGGTTCTCTGTCTACGATATTGCCGTACTTTCAGTTGCAGTGATAACAGTTTATTTAATAAAAATCGCCCACTTTTGCTATGAGATAGTACGTGTCGATTCGACTTATTTGGCCTTTATTTTGTATAATATTTTAATAAATGCTAGTTATTGATTATATTAAATTATATGATATTCAGAATCGTGTTGAGATTGAAGGATTCTACAAGGGGGTCATTGTAGAAGCGTGCTCGTCGCGACCCCTGCCAGCCCTTTTCAGGGCTGCAATTCTACACAGCTTTGCAAACGGAAGTTAGGGCGTCCCCCCAAGGCGACACACACCAGCTCGTCCCCGTTGGTGTGGAATGCAGCGCGCAAAGCGGCGATGGGGACCGCCACCCGTCACGCACAGCCCGACACGGCGGAAGGTGGAGGACGGAGTGCAGAGTTGGCACGTGGAATGTTAGAGGGGGCATGAGAGATAAGACGAATGAGTTGATCGAAATAATGAAAGAAAGAGAATTAGATGTCGTGTGTATGTCGGAGACCAAACGGAAAGGTAGTGTTACTGAAGAGCTCCCTGGCGGGACGTTAGCTATATGGTCCGGAGTCCCGGAAAGCAAGAACGCCTGCCAGGGAGTGGGGGGTGCTGTTGTCGTCCCGGTTGGTCGATCTTATGACTGAATACAAGGTTGTGAACTCAAGACTTCTCTGGGTTCGCTTTAAACTGGGACTGACGAAGTTATTCCTTTTGGCTGTTTATGCGCCGGTAGCTTCGTCGTCCAGGGCTGAGCTGGAGGAGTTTTGGGAGAATGTAAGAGAAGTTCTAGATTTGGTTAAGGGAAACTAAAGAACTGTTGTATGTGGTGATTTGAATGGATGGGTAGGTATCGCTCGACCAGGATACGAGTCGGTGCTTTGAAAGCTTGGCGATATTTTTAATGATGCTGGCAAACTTATACTGGCTGTATGCAAGGAAAAGGGTCTTCTTGTGACAAACACCATGTTTAATCACAGGAAAATCCATATGTACACTAGAGAAAAAAAGAATGAGAGAAGTATGATTGATTTGTTCCTGGTGGATGACCGACTGCGAAAACAGGTGATGGATACACGAGTGTTCAGGGGTGCTGACCTGGGAACGGATCACTATCTAGTAATTACTAGATTTAGGGGTTTGTTCGCGGGTTGGCGCTACCGGACGGCAGTAACAGAGCCACAGTCGGTCTGTCGCATCCGAAGCTGGAAGCTTCAGGAAGCGGATACTAGGGACAAATATCACACGAGGGTAGCCGAAAAGCTTGACACCATCGATGGCAGGAAATAATGTGTGGAAATAACATGGCAGAACCTTAGGGATGGAATGGTAAGTGCAGCGGAAGAAGTATGTGGAACGACAAAAAGAGGTATAGTAAAAGAAGAGATGCATGGTGGAATGATGAAGTGAGAGAAGCTGTAAAAAAGAAGAAAAAAGCATGGTTAGACTACTTGGCCTCTCGATAACGATAAGCATATGAGAGAGAAGATGAAAGAAAGATATAAGCTGCAGAAAGTTCATGCGAAAACATTTATTGAGGAAGTACGTGAAAGGTGTAGAATAGAAGCGGACGAGAGGTTGTCGCACAACTTTAGGGAAAACTCCAAACTCTTCTGGAAAGAGGTTGGAAGGTCCCGGAGTGGTGCGACAGCCTTAAGAATGAACAAAGTGCTTTCGAGAACCAATGACGTCCTCTCAGAAAAATCGGACGT